AAAAATAGATTCTAACTAAATTTATATAGATTTAAAGTCTGTTATTAATTTTATAAAGATTAATTATATAAAAAAAATATAAAGATTTTTATATAATTTAATTTAATAAATAATATTATTATAAATTTGTAAATAAGTTTTTTTTATTATTAATTCTAATATATCAAATAAGATTTTAGTTTTCTTATTAATATTAGAATTGTTTTAAAAAATTAAATCTGTTAAAAATTTAAATTATTTTCTAGTCATATTATTAATAATTTAATAAAAGCTAGCTTATAAAGTTTTTTTTTAGTTTTAGTTACTAATTTTTTTTCATTTTCTAATATAAAATTATAAATAGATTTTAAGAAAATCAAAATATTATTTAAAGAGTACTTTTTGTAGTTAAGTATTAAACCTTATTTTTTTAATAATAAAAAAGTTATAGAGCTAGTTAAAATTTAGTTTAAGTTTTTTTTTTGAGATATTAGTATTAATTAGATTAGTAGTATATATATTTGATTTTTTTTTTCTTTTTTCTAACTTGAATAATCTTACTTATCATTTATTAGAGAAAATATCAAATGAAATATATAAGATATAAGTTATATATATTCTAAAACTAATCTATAACTAAATCTCTCCTTACTGCAATTTCGAACTTACTTAGCTACCAAATAGTACCTAGATACGATCTATTACAAAAGTTATTTTTCTCATTATAGTAACTCTTCTCAAAGAAGATATTATTCTTAGATTAACAAAAGTGACTTTAGATTCTATTAGGATTCTAAATCTCTTCTTATCTAGTTAATACTAAGTTACAAGTAGTTAATATCTAGTCTTAAGATAGAAAAAATAAAAATTGTTACTAATCTAAAAGTACTAAGCTTAATAACAAAGAAAAACTTGCTCTAAGTCATAAAAACTTTTAGGCAGTAATATAATAAAAGAGACAGAATATATAAAAAAACTAAAAAAAGATAATCAGATACTCTGTAAACTGAGTTAGACTTAAAAATTTTAAATTGTATAACTTATAACCTATCTCGAATAAATTTCTTTCTAATATACAATTCATCTTTAGAATTTAGAATCTGTAGTACTAAAGTTATATTCTAGACTAAATAATAAACAAAGTACATATTTTGTCAATAAACAAAGTATATAACTTTGTTTACTATATAGAGTCATACATTTACAGAGTATTTTTAGAAATAGAAGAAGTAAATAATGCTGATCTTTTGTAGAGAAGAATCTGAATTCCCTACTTTTGTTAAGAAAAATAGAAGAATAAAGAAAAAAAGTTATAATGCATTATTGTTTTTTAGAGTCTAAGGAGTATGTAAACAAAATAATTTATTATTCTTCTTTCTTAAGTCTTCTTTTACCAACTTCATTAACAAAGAGTGATTTTGCATTTCTTTACTAAAATTTTTTATACAAGAACTCTTTTTACCTGCTAGTTATCTTGTATAATATTACTTTTGGCTTGTATATTAAATATATAGAGGAGTTACTAAGAGTAAGCAATTGACTTTTGTAAAAATTATTATATTGTTTTTTTATTTATTTTTATAAGCAATTTCTTTGGCTGGATACTTTATTAAATTTTTGTCATAATTTATTACAAGTAATAATTACAACTAGTTTAATATTTATGTAAATCTTAGACTAATTTATCTTCAAAATATACTTGATCTAATCAAGACTAACTCACTATAGTATTAATTAGAGTTTATATTACAACTATCCTTATTAAGTTACCTTATCTATATTTACTGTATTACTTATATTCTTATATAGATATTACCAAATAAATACTATAGATGTCATAGGTTATTATAATCCTCACGAAAAACTTCCTGTTTAGTATTTAGCTATCTAAACCTATATACCTTCTAATTAGCTTATAATGCTCAATCTAGGCTCACAACTAATACAACTACTGCAAAACTAAGTATACAATATTTATAATATATAAATATATTTATATGCAATACTACTATTAATATCAGATACTCCTGTATATTAGTAAGTACAGACTATATTTTGTAACAAAGTTACTTCCAACTAGATTTATAATATATAGTACTACTTCTAACTTGCTTCTGTATTAGCTAGTATTTAATATTAGTATACCATTGTACTTAGATATGCAATTTTACTACTAGCTTAGTGCTTTCTACTAATTTAAGTTATTATATATACTCTAGATAGTTGCTAACTTTTTACAGAGCTGAGACCTTCTAATTCTAGCTTTCACATATACCAAAAGTGTTTCATCTCAAGTTAGAATAATTCTTTACTACTAATTTCTATTATATTCACTACTTTGCTTATTACTTCAGCTTGTGTTATTTTCATATTACATTCCCAAGCAAGTTTCTAACTGCTAGGAATATTAGTACTATCTAACCCTCTAAAGACTTATTTGCATAATACTTATGTAACAGAACCTTCTGTAATACTAACTGTCATATGTAATACTAACTTACTCTATAATATTAATTTCTTTTTAGGAATTCCTTTTCTAGAATATTATACTTCATATATGTTTTACTACAGGACTTTGCATTCAATTTAATAGTTTTCATAAAAATTATAGAAGCAAATGCCTCTAACCAAACTCAAACTATTGGCTTTATCTGTAAAAAGTTAAGAGTTTAACCAACTAAAACATAGGACCCAACTCTAAAATTATTATATTGTAAAAGAAATTTCTTCATTTTTCTATAATAAATTTTTGTATTTTACTTTTTTAAATTTTTTTAAGAAAAAGGATTATTAGAAAAGAGTATATATATTTGAAGATAAAGTATTTATATTAGTATTATAATTAATTAAAATAAAAATTCTGATTTAATAAAATAGTATAGCTTTTAATAGTTATTTAGTTAATATTTGATTTGAAAAAAGATTGTTTTAAAAGATACAAATTAGAATAGATACAAGTAAGTCTATTTTATAAAAAGAAGGCTATAGATTGAGCTATAACTTATAAATAATAAATAAATACTAGTAAATTAGTAATACTAATTTAACTTAATAACTAATAAGATTTAGAAAAATCTAACTTATAAAATATTTAGAGAAATCTAAAAACATATACTATAAAGAGCTATAGTAGAAATTAGAGTTATATAAATATCACAAAAGTTAAAGCTAGCTGAATTTGTAAAATAAGTATAAACTTTTCTAGTAGATTTGTTTTAAGATTAACTAACTTTACAAATAATTATAATAAGTTAAAAAAATATAACTCAAGAAGATCTAAGCTAAAGTAAGTAAATAGATCTGTAACAAGTTAGCTAGTTTAAATAATTAGAAATTATAGTAATATTAGATTATAATAGTATAAGTTAGTTAAATAGTGTATTAAAATAAGTAATTTACAAACAGATCATATATATAATAACATAGTATAGGCTAATTAAGTAATTTAATATCTATATAATAAACTATTTAAAATAGATAATAACTAAAGTTATATATGTAGTTTGTTGTATACTTTTTATATTATTACAAATTGTAAAAAATTGTTTATAAGTAATCCTGTATATTTTGAACTTAGAAATGTAATATATATAAATTAATATATTACAAGTAACAATTTTAATATATTAAATATAACTAGGTAGATTATTTGCCTTAATTAGATAATCTACTAAATAATTTTATTAATTTTATATAGAGACTAATTTTATAACAGCCAGAACCAATATATAGAATAGGCTTTGAACTCTTATATAACTATGAAAACTGAGTATATTGCAAGTGATTCTACAAAAGCATACTCTTACTCTTCAGCCTCCAATACCTCATTTCATGCTGAAAAAATAACTTGCTTCAATCTCTTTTTACTAACTAATAACTTACCTCTACTAACACAAAATAAAACACTTAGCTTCCTTTTAAAATACTTATAAAACTTCTTCTTTTCACAACTAGTTAAAATCTCAATCAACTAATAACAAACAGAATCCCACATATATCACATATATACTAACATAAATGATTCTTTACTACTAAACTATACATTATTACTACCAGAAAAATATCACAAATTTTACAATATACTAATTCAAATAATACTCAAAATGCCATATATTGACTCTAATTTCCTACTCCAATTAAACTTTAATACCTATTCAGAAAATGAAATACAAGTACAATTACTAAAAATCTACTCACTTAATACCAATAAATTACTTGAAGATTACAAACAACTAAGTCTAATAGATTATATTACAGAAAACCAAATTGATATATTTAGTATCTCTGAAATATAACTCAACTTAAAAGAAGCAAAATTTTTAATACTATCCAAAATATTACTAACTACTAAAAATTCTGAACACCTTGTATAAACAGACAAAGTAGTGTAAGAATTATAATATACACTCCCTTGATATAAATCACTGGATTTTTCAAAATTGATGATGATCATCTGTATAACTCATTGTTGACAAAAAATTTTTTTTCTTAAAAATTACTATACTTGCTCTTCAAAAATTTTTTTTTCGGTTTTATTTGAACCCACTAGTGTGTCTATTTTTTTTTTTTTTTCATGATTTTTTTTTTTTTTTACTATGAAACAAAGGAAACAGCTTGCTAACGAAGAACGTAACCAAATTATTGGTGCTTGGAAAACCAGTATAAAGCAAATAAAAATCGCAGAGACCCTAAAACTTTCCAGAAGTACCGTCAATGATGTAGTAACATACTACAGAAAGGCTAGAAAAGTTGTACCTTTACCTCGTCCTGGACGACCTCCTAAAGTAACTGAATGTAGTATTTAACACCTAACCTGCATTTTAAAAATAAACAAAAAGGTTACACTAAAGGTTTTGACGAATAAATTCATTGAAGCAACCTCTGTAGAGGTATCCACATGAACTATACAACAGTACCTCCATAATGAAGGGTTTTATAGTCAAGTTGGTTTAAGTAACTATTTATAAATAAGGAGTCTTGTATAGTTTGTATGAATTGGGTAGGTACAAAAGTAGGTTGGGATGAAAAATGAAAAAACGTTATTTGAAGTAACGAATCAAGGTTTGAGATATTTGGAGAGGATGGTTGTAAGTATGCTTGGAGGAAACCAAAAGAAAAATATGATATTGAATGTTTAGTTCCAACATTTAGGTCAGGAAGAGTAGGCATAATAGTTTGGGGATATTTTAGCATATACAGTCTTGGATCTTTAGTTCAGGTTCATAGTAGAATGAATTTGAAAGACTATGTAAAAATTCTTGAAACTTGTTATGTACTATATTTAACCAATTTAATAAACGTAGTCAGTCAAAAAAATTATGTGTTTTAAGATAACAATGCTAAAATTCACACTTCCAAATTTTCCCAGAAATAGTTTGACGAAAATCATATTGTGCAACTTCCATGGCCCTCATATAGTCCTGACCTCAATCCTATTGAACATTTGTGAGATGAATTAGAGCATTGTATACATAAGCATATTCTTCTACCAAGTGATAAGTTGGAACTCTTCAATTTGCTTCAGGAAGAGTGGTTTAAAATTGATGGTTCATTTTTAAAAAATCTTGTTGAAAGTATACGTCGACGTATTCTCGCTGTAATTGCTGCTAATAGGTACCCTACATGGTATTAAATTATGTAAATAAAATTTATATATATAGTTGCTAAATAAAAAAATTTTAACCCAAATTAATATGTAGTTTGTTGAGAATTCACAAATCAAAACCTGCAAAAAAAAATGATCGTCATATTGTTACTAAAAAAATCCGGTGATTTATGTCAGGGGAGTGTACCTCGTGTAATTTTCTTTTACATTATCTCAATTTTTTATTATGCAAATCAACTTTCATTATAATTGAAAAATGTCAATAATGTCAAAATTTATATGAATATAATAAAAACATTTTTCAAATATTTGTGAAAATAGGCTCTTCACCTCATATATGCCACATTTTTAACATTTAGTACACCGTGAACATTGGCTAATCGAATTATGATCCTTACTAAGCTACGAGCGAGGTAAGACTATCATACATATTTGTTAAATACTACAAGTGAGCTTTACTAAATAAATATATATTTATAAAACAAATAAATAACAAAAATAATAATAATAAAAGGAAGGCGACTTCGGATCGGTAGGGTCAGGGACCTAGGAGACCTTTACGCCGGACAGAGCCCTCGGAACCCAACTTTCTCATGTGACACTATGTTTATAGTGATTATCTTGGTTCTTGTCACATGGGAAATTGGTTCCGATTAATCTTTCGGGATCCATTTCACAAAAAAGACATCTGGTGTTACGAAAAATTTTGATATTTGGTAGATTTGCTAGATTTTTCTGTTATTACTTTATTGTTATTAGTATTGATTAGGGCTGTTAATCAATCCGGTCCAGACCGTTGGTCCTTCGGTCCATCCAAGGATCGGGTCAGTCCAGTCCTTCTTAGGATGGATCGTAAGGACTATCGGTCCTAATATTAGATATCTGATATTATTAATTCTACAATATATCTACTAGTAGGCCATTCTCAAACTCCTTTCTCATTAGGTTTACCGGATAACTTGGTTAGCTGAAAAAATTAGGTCGAAAAATTCTGAAGCTGAAGATATTAATTTTTTTCGGATCCGTATCATTTCACCGACAATCATTTCATCGACAGCTCATTTAGCCGACATCACGCCAAGTGACAATTTACTAAAAATATATACCTAAAACTAATAAAACCCTAAACCTAACCCCATGTGATGTCGGCTAAATGAACTTTCGGTGAAATGACTGTCGGTGAAGTGAGCGGCACCGATTTTTTTCATATAGTTACTTTGATTGGCTGAAATTTGAATAATTTTCGCGCAATGAATTTTTACAACAATCGATTCAATTAATCACAATGATTGAGCAACAACCAGATAATTAGCAAATTACATTGAGGGAGTTGCTTGAGAACACCCTTAATTAGTCTAATAATCGGTCCATCCGTCCATCCGATCTAATTCTAACAGTCCTATTTTGTTCCGGACTGCAGTCTGATCCGATCTTCTAAAAGATCATCAGTCTTTGGACCAGGATGGACCGGACGGACCGATTAACAGCCCTAGTATTGATTGCTGTGTGTGAAGATTTTGGTTCGAAACCCAAGATCAGGGTTCGAGACCCAAAATTTGGGTTCGAAACCCTTGATTGTTAAAATGTATAAATACAATACTTGAACTAATAAAGTATAACAACTTCCTTCGGCTCCCTTAATTACTGTATAATAAATAAATACTTCTTTCCGATCAATTATATAATAAATAACATCTTTCTGCTCTCCCACAATAATAAATTGAATAAATAACATAATACATAACATTCTTTTAACTTACCTAAATACAATTTATGTTTACGAATCTGAGTTAAATTGGTGCCTTATGAACAATAGCTCTCCCCAGTTCGTAACACCAGCAATTAAATCATAAAACCTAGGACCAATTTGTTCTTAATAATCTGTGAAATTAAAAAAGTTTTCATCAAAATTTAGTCAAATAGTTATCGAGATATCTTCATTCAAAGTTTTAAAAAATTTGGCATAATTTTGATTTTTTTAGATGTTCAAATTTTTTAAGACTTTGTGCAAAGATAACTCAACAACTACCTAGTCAAATTTTTTTGAATTCTATGAATCTGTAGAATTAAAAGAAAAAAATTATCAAATTTGATAAGGTGGTTATTGATATATCTTTGTTCAAAGTTTCAAAAATGGTTGTTTTTTTACAAAGATATACATAAAATTCTATTGGCCAGAATGTTGCGTAACTGAGAAGTTTTATTGAGGGCAAATTCGCGTGACCACGGCCAATCAATCACAGAATCTTTATGAAAAACCTAAAAAATACAAAGAACAACAGTCTATATCTACCTCAGGTAGGTTAAGTAAAAATGTCGGGAAGGCAATTTTGACCTAACCTAACCCCAATATAAGATGACCCTAAAGTTAATCGATAAAATTATTAAGAAATATGAGTTATCCCCGCTTTAGGCGTCCCCCTTTTTTATCGATGTGGCCCCACTTCAGGCATCGAGCCACGTGACATTTTAGCGTTTACCATGGAATTACTGATTTTAATTCCATTGATTACTAAATCATCTTTATACTCACGACTAAATTAATGCGAAAGAAATAATTTGAAATGCATGCAAATAATGTAAGTGTTTATTAATAATTATTTATGATCATGATTTGCAGGTTTTAATTTCACCGATTACTAAATCATCTTTTTTTTCAATTAGCGTAAATGAATGATTTGAAGAATATTAGGTGATCGCAATAACCATCGTTATCGTTGGGCAGCCTTTGGACATAATCTTGGACATCTTGGACAAAAAACAATGAGAATTTACTCGACTTTATTATGATAAGCAAAAATGTTTATAATTAAGCGGAAAATATAATTTTTATTTTATTGTACTAAAATATGGACAGCTTGAACACTTGGAGATGCCAAAGCGTACAACACTGCCTATACCTAGACAATCCTAACAGAACTTTTGTATAACAGCATGTAAAATTAAAAGGTTTTTTTACTCTCTAAGTAATGATATATCGAAACTTGGAGACAAAGCAGCCAAAATATGATAACTGAGAAATTTGTCCTTGTAATTGATTAGTTTTAACGCATGAAGTGCAGGCCAACTCTTAGCCCACTTGGTTGTTGGGCTAGGCCCATATCACTATGTGTAAATACTAAAAATAATTTTTATCAAACTAATCTTAGGCCATACAAACTTAATTAATCAGTTTTCATAACCCGGCCGGGTCAAAATTTACAAAACTCTAAAAAAAAAAATTTTCAAGTATACTTACTATCCGGGTGAGTTTATTTAAAAAATCTATAAGAAATTTTATATGTTTTTTATATATAAATTTTTTGAAAATAAAATTAAAAACCGGGTTGCCGGGTCACTTTTGAAAATTTTATGTTGTGAAAACCGATTTATTAAGTTTGTATGGCCTTATTATGAATATATTATATTTATAAGGTGAGGGACAGAAATCAGGTGATTTCAACTTACTATAGAGCTCCACCCACCTGACTGATGTATTATAGTATATTCTATAATTGATAATAATATAATATTTGACCTGACTGAACTTCTAACGCTAACCCCCACCCTCCTAAGAAATCAGCTGATTTCTGTCCCTCCCATAACTCCCTTAAATTTTTCAAGTGCCTAGTTTATATGTACCCCATCATTTTTTTTATAGTGCACCATATACAGCCAGACCTCCCTAAATGCAATGCGATGGGACCATATGTAAAAATTTAGTCAAACGTGCACTTAGGCGGATGTTGCATTTAGAGAGGTAAAAATCTATAGATTTAATATTAGTTGGGCCTGAAAGAAGACGTGCATTTAGAGAGGTCTGAATGTAACTGTTTTTCTATTTTATTTTATTTCAGGGATGATGCATAATTCTGCATAATGTAGGCTGTTCACGAATTTTGGGCTTCGTGCATTCGGGAGGCTTTTCATAGAAAGAGCCTTTAGGGGGTAGTTTAGTGGTAAAACAAATACATAATCTATTCAGACCAATTGGTTTGACATTTTAATTCTAAATTTACAGTACTAAGTTTATTTTCTGTGTTTATTTATCCCCCTTCCCCAATTCCTCCATTGTGCAAATATGAAAAAATATCGTTAAAAGAACCAATTGTATAATGAAATAAATTTACTCTATACTTACGTACGTTTATTACTATTTTGACTTTAATCATATCTGATATAAACATTTTTCTTACCTTAATCATAATGAGGTCGATCATTTAGTTACAAGCATGAAATCCACTCATTATTTATAAAGATCGAAATGCTTTGAATTCAATTACTCAAAGCAAATTAGTAAAAATGTATTTTAAAACACTTTTCTCTTTTGCTTTGGTTATATTTACTTTAAGCAATAATGCAATTTCTAGTAATCCTTATGATTTAGAAAACAAGACTTATAATACAGATGTAGCTTATTTTTACGATCATCCTGCCAACTTTTATTCTTTTGATGTGATTCATAACACCGGAAAGCCTCCCAAGATCTTTGATAGTAACCCTATTTATATCTTTCTTAAAGACCTTAAAGATGATATTTGTAATGTTCTACAACCAAGCATTATTGACTTTATTCCTGGTGACGAAGGGTACTCCGATTTTAAACAAGTTGTTATAGTTATTGGTCGCAAGGATAATGACTCTCATATAACGTGCTATGAAGATCTGAAAAGGCTTGGCAGAAAAGTAAAACTTTACTTTACAGATATCTATCTCAATCTTCCTGTTGGTATGTTGATACAAAACATTTGTGTTTATTTTCTACAAATTTCCAATTAATAATTCCTTTTAAAAGTTGGCTTTTCTTCCAAATTGGAATACCCTGATGATGGTCCAGCAAAGCTTGGTTATTACAATGGTGGTCCTGTTCGTTATTTTGACTTTGGTATAAATCCAGCAGGCAATGCTACTGCTGATCTTTTTCATGCGGTTTCTAAAAATTACACCCGATTAGCCAACTTGCCTAGTACAATTCCTGGTTTAAAGGACTATAGTGCCATGTGGATCGTCTTTAATCTCACTGTCGTTAAGCCATTAAAAGAAATAACATCTCTCGATCAATTATCTGATATTACGCCAGTATATATTAATGCCATAGTTAATTGTCCAGTTTCTATCACTATTCTTGAGAAAAAGCTAAATAGATATTAGTAATTTATATACTGTGTGTTTTTTTCGTATTATATATGATATACAGCAGACCTCTATAATCACATTATCAGTATCAGAAATTTTTTCAAAAAACGTTCCTATATAGACTATATTTTTCTACCATAGTAATTTGCTATTTTCATCATGTTAAAATACAAATTATTAAAGATAAATCCTAATTCTAATTCCGGCTTTATTTTTATTATTTTTTTTTTAAAAAAAAGATTGATATTTATATAATGTGCTTATAGAGAGATCTGATATATACTTATTTTTTAAAATTAATAAATAATACTAGAGTTCAAAATTTTGCTGATTTAAACTCGTGTTACCATTCTAGGATAGGATGATCAACATTTTCGAACCTAATTTTTTAAATAGTTTATCAGTCCATGCACTTGACATAAAAAATGCATTTTTCTTTTTTTTTTTTTTGTAATTTTTGATTGGAGAAAATTGTGTATCTTTAGTCGGATTAAATTGTCATTCGTTTGGATCATCCAATAAAAACCAAATTCAATTCAACTAGGAATAATTGATTTTTTCTTTCATTCAAATATAGAAATGAAAATATGTCTTCAAAAATAATTGAGAAAATTTCGATCATCCTACGGATGGCGGATTGGAACACTAGAGCGATCGACGCTTATATCGTGACCCAGGAAAACATGATTAAGCCGGCATTATAATGCTATTGTTATGTTTGAAAACGGCGAGTCTGTCGCTCAATCTTCAAGTCTTCCGTGTAACGTAATAAGATAACTTATCGAATGAGGCGTTTAGATTTGGCAAAGGAAATTCCAAGGCTTCGATTATCGCTTGAGTCACATTATTTCTCTCGTATCACAAAGTCCGTTGAGTTTTTTAATTTCCTTAATCTACTAACTTTGACTTATCCTCTCTCTTAGGATAATCAACAATCGATTCTCGGCAAGTTCTCTCTTTACTCAACACGAACGATTCGGGTTCACTCTTACTAAAGAGTAATAACTTAGCAGCGTAACGTTATACACAGGTATAAGTTATACGATTAGCGAAAGATCGGGTTGGAATTATTTAGCGAAGCTATGGGTCAAGGGAAGGTTTGAGCAAATTTATTTTTGTGGGCAAAATATTTTATCGACTGAGCGATATCTTTATTGAAGGGCAAAAATGCCCGCTTATATAGTTATTGGAACAATAGGTCGGACGATAAGTCTTTTAATACATTAATCCTTCTAAAAGACTTATCATCCCCTATCGGCCCTATAATACAAAATAATAATAGTAACTAATTGCTACTAAACGTCCTAACGACAAATATCCCTCCCATCAGGCCTTATCATCAACAAATGCCACATTATTTCCCTTCGGTCTGTTCATTCCTTATATCTCTTTAAGGCTAACGCTCTTATAAGAGATATAAGACCGATCGTTCCTATAAGACCTGGATCTCTATAATAGGCAGAAATCTACTTAGCCGTAAAATTGAGCTGCGGCTACGTTATGCAGGTCCGATGAAAAAGTGTAAATTGTTTCTTTTAGACGTAACTCGTCCGGAGGCTATGTCACACGAAGAGTCGGGTTTATAGACAATCACCACAAATCCATAAGTTGGAAGGCTGAAAGACGGCGTGGAAGATTTGGTCCGAGTTTAGGGCCATTCTTGGTTTATCCTGGTCTCTGTAGGTAAGTGTTCTATCGTTCTTGATCTTTACTTCTAGTTGTTTACGTTCTTAATACTTGCTTCTATTCTTTTCGTTGTTAGTTTTGCGTCACGTGGCACGTGATGTGGTTCTAACTTCCGATTGACTGGTAATTCTACAATGGTGATATTAATCAAGTAGTTTATTGTTCAACTATAAGGGCTTTACTGATTTGGCACTTCTTTCTCTTAACTTGTAGCACGAACTTTACTATCACGGGGACAAGATGTTTGACGATTTGGGTAGTTTATTCTTTAAACAAGAGACTTACTTGAGTTATTTTATGTCCGATGACACATTTGTTTTGATTTTCGGACTGATCCGGGATTAATCAAATTTCACGAGTTTGATTGGTTAAAGGTAACAGGTGACTATCGGGTAATATTGTGATGTGTTGTACTACGTACACTCCCCTGACATAAATCACCGGATTTTTCAAAATTGATGATGATCATCTGTATGACTTATTGTTGACAAAAAATTTTTTTTCTTAAAAATTACTATACTTGCCTTTCAAAAATTTTTTTTTCGGTTTTATTTGAACCCACTAGTGTGTTCTTCTTTTTTTTTTTTTTCACAATTTTTTTTTTTTTTTTTACTATGAAACAAAGGAAACAGCTTAGCAATGAAGAACGTAACCAAATTATTTGTACTTGGAAAACTGGTGTGAAGCAAATAAAAATCCCAGTGACTCTAAAACTTTCCAGAAGTACCATCAATGATGTAGTAACATACTACAGAAAGGCTGGAAAAGTTGTACCTTTACCTCATCCTGGATGACTTCCTAAAATAACTGAACGTAGTGTTCGACATCTAACTTATATTTTAAAAAAAGACAGAAAAGTTACGCTAAAGGTTTTGATGAATAAATTCGTTGAAGCAACCTCTGTAGAGGTATCCACATGAACTATACAACGGCACCTCCATAATGAAGGGTTTTATAGTCGAGTTGGTTTAAGGAAATCATTTATAGATGAGAAGTCTCGTATAGTTCATATGAATTAGGCAGGCGCAAAAGTAGGTTGGAATGAAAGGTGAAAAAATGTTATTTGGAGTAACGAATTGAGGTTTGAGGTGTTTGGAGAAGATAGTCGTAAGTATGCTTAGAGGAAACCAAAAGAAAAATATGATGTTGAATGTTTAGTTTCAACATTTAGGTCAGGAAGAGTAGGCGTAATAGTTTGGGGATGTTTTAACATATACGGTCTTGGACCTTTAGTTCAGGTTCATAGTAGAATGAATTTGAAAGACTATGTAGAAATTCTTGAAACTTGTTATGTACTATATTTAACCAATTTAATAAACGTAGTCAGTCAAAAAAATTATGTGTTTTAA